AAACCACCACCTTGTCCCAAGTTCGGGCGCCAGAATGTTGCAGACCAAGGGTCCCAAAGAATAGAATTAATTTATAATAAAGAGACAAACTGCCAGGAATGATATAGAACAGAGAGTGTGAAAAACAGGGGGCCAACAGTTCCCATGACTGAAGGCACCTAGCCATGCCTCTCTGAGTATTTATACAGAAAAACAAGGAAGTACAAAACAAAGGATAATGGTGAAATCTTTTACAGATAAGGCTAAGTTCCTCTTTATGTTAATCTCAAGAGGGAGGGATTCATTTGATAAAAACTAAGAACAATGTTGACTCCCAGGGAATGCCCTAGTGTCACAAGGAGACCTTCAGCTTGTATTAAGCCTCCCTCATTTCCCGATACAGCATTTGGTCTACTATTACTAATTTTGATATTCGGCTTCCCTCACTATCTCATATACTTTGGGCTTATTGCTAAGAGGGACTAGTCCTTGGCGAAAAATATCATGCTTAGAACGGTGGAAGGTCAGCTCAGGAGAGGAAGTCCTTGAATGAGATGCATTGACACAGTAACTGAGGTGATGAGGGGAGTTGTGTCAGAAATAGTGAAGTTGGCTCAGAGTAGAGCAGGGTTTGGAGCTATTGTGCATAGAACTGTTATGAGTCGTAGTTGACTCGACAGCATCTGACAACAACAATGTAGAAATTTTATGAAACCGTATTTCTTCCATTTCGCTTTCTAAAATAACATTTAAGATATGTAGAGCTATGTGTTGGGATGATATATCCCACCATGCCTTTTTCTAGCATCAAGGTAAAGAAAAGGAGCCAATCAGATTTAAGTACTTTGCTGTTTGTTCTTGCTATCTCCTGACAGGGGAGCCCAAAGAAGTGTGAAGCTGAAGAGGCAGAACCACCAACTGCTACACAGCCCCAAACCTCAGAGACTCAGACCTCTCAGCAACCAGAATCAGAACAGATTCAGCACACTGTGTAAGTGCCGCATCTTGACTGGAGTATAACAAGCTAGAAATGTGTGTAGCCTCTGCTCTCTGTGGTTCTTTGAGTATATAGTTCTAGTTTCCTTTTAAAACAGCTTTATCTGAACAGAAGCTAAACCTTGTTCTTTATGGAGGCAAGGATGATGAAGCTTTATCTCACATATTTTAGGCATGTTGTTTGGAGGAGCCTGTCCTTGGGAATGGACATCATCCTTGGAAAGTTGGAGAGTCAGTAAAGGAGAGGCAGATCCTTAGTGAGATAAATTGACAGAGTGACTGGAACATTGGGCTCAAGTATCTGAGAGATGGTGAGGATGGCACAGAATAATAGTGCAGGGTTCAGATCTGTTTTCATAGGGTCACTATGAGTCATACTCAGCTGGATGGCACCTAAAAACAATGATAGGAGCAGTTACCAGAAACTTTTAAAGTAGCCCAAAAAGTAGCATAAAGAAACCAATGTTATTAATTACATTGTGTTAATTATAAAGTTGGTGTGATCCATCAAAGTCTTTTTGAGGTCTAGGAATAGACTTTAAAATTAGTCACTCACACTCCTTGCCTTCCAGTCAGAACCAACTCTCATTAGAAACCACATCTGGAATTATCTAACCAAAATAGTTCTTTTCAGGCATCATAGACTTCTGCTTCTAAACTAAGTGTAAGGGATTGACTCAGAGCATCATAGCTTAATCCTTAACTCAAATAGAGCCTTTGTAACTGAGCTTGGGAAATCAGTTCAATAAAGATATTGATAAGTTTATAAAGAAAAAGCATAGCAATACGTTGTCTCCGAATTATTACGTGTATTTTAGTAATACACAGTATGGCCTGCTAAACTACTATAGCACATATATAGTGTAACAGAATACAAGGTCAATAATAAGTTGGAAGGGATTTCTGGTGACCTAATGGGTAAAAGGCATTGCACTGCCAACCCAGAGACAGGTTGTTCAAATCCACCAGCTGCTCTGGGAGAGAAAGACAGTCCTCTCTTATACAGGAAAACCTACTAGAGGGTCATGTATGAATTGATTTGACTGGATGGCAAAGACTGTGAGTGATTAAGTTGAAAGTTTATTCATAGGACTCCAAAATACTTTGATGGATCATAGCAGCTTTGTAATTAATGTGAGTCTTTTATTTTTATGTTCAGTCTTAAGAAATCTGTCTTAAAGTTAGGTTATTTTTAGAATTAAACAGGTGTGCTGTTTATTATTCTCAGCTAGGTATTTCTAAACTAAGAAGCCATTGAGCCAGAATTCCTGCCTGTGGTCTCCTAACGAGGTTTCCCATAATATATGAGACCATAAAGCATTGTAAGATTACTTGGCTTTTGAGAATCCTGAACTGTTTTGAAGAATATACTATAGACAGTTGGTCTAAACTTATTTCCTACATATTTTCATGCCATTTTAACAATACTGTATTATTGTTACCAGTATTCCTTCTGTATAATCATCTGATATTTTACACTTTTCTGGAACATTTAGACTACCTTATATTGATTTTCAAAGGGTGGTGGACAAGTGACATGAATTACTATCTTATTTCTTTGTATTTTCAATGTTCCTTTCCCATTCTTTCACTGTAGCTATTACACTGGAATATACAGCCTTGATATTGTCCATTCTTCTGTTCTTGCCTCTACTGCCATCTTGTGGCTATTACCTTTGTTGTAAAATAAGGCGTTCAATCCATGTCTTTGGAAAGTTTTTTTTCCCCCTTTTGAGATGGATACATTATTCTTTGGAGAGGGGATTTTTCTTCTAGGAGCATAAAATGAAAAGTCCATGGATTCTGGAAGGTGTTCAGGATTCCCTAGCCATCACAACAATCAAAGATAGTATCTGCCCTGCTTTCCCCTCCCTTTCCCATCCCATGAGATTATAGCATGCCCTTTGTAATTACCATTTCAGAGTGGGTGTTGGCAGCCTGCACTAAGTGAGCATGAGGAGGAACTGCCTCTTATGCACCTTGAGAAGCAAATCGGTTTATTAGCCCTGAAATTCTGTGGGAATCTGAGATTTTAGCATTAAGGCTCTCTCTCTTTTTTCTTTCTTTCTTTTTTTTTTTTTTTAAGCATTAAGGCTCTTAATGCTGTTTTTAAAAGAAGCAATTTTATTCTGGACTTTCCTATTAAGTCCAAAGCAAATGAAGCTTAGAGTCTTCCACAGTTGTGTACTGCTTAAGGTCCCTGATACAGACTCTTAAATAGGACATAAACAGTTTGGATTATGTGTGAATACTGTATTATATGCAGGCAGTCTCCAGATTATAGGCAACCCATACCTATAGTGGACAGCCATAAAACTTATTATATTGCAAATTTGAGTTAATACAAACAATGATTTATAATAACAAGTGCATTCACTACTTTATGATAAACATTGCATGGTTTGGAAATGTGTTCAATGAAAGATAAAATATATACTGTACACTAAGCCAAAACAGTTGATTGACACTAAATAACCTTTTATACCCATTTAAATTGCCTACAAATTTGAAAGATAGATTTGGGAACAGATAATTGTTCATAATTCAGGGGCTGCATATATAACATTATGGAACCATGAACATATATGTGATCAGACGTTATATGGGACATGACTGTACAGTTTTTCTCCTCAGGTAAAAGTGGCTTTAATTGATTTCACAAAGGCGAGTTGAGATTGTCCATTATTACTAGACAATTATGGAGCAACATAAAGATTGGAAATGCAGTCCAGTAAGCACAAGTGGCTTATGTATATTCTTCTTACTTACTTTGCTTCTGCCTTCCTGCCAGATGCTATGTTCAGCAGCCCATCCAAAAGATACACCTAAAGCCTATTCAGGCATTGATTTCAGTAACTGAATCTTTGAGAAGTTTGCCTGTATTTCTGGTAAGAGTGGAGTCATCAATACTAAATGGAAAAGACGACTTATGATTTAAACTTGGTTTTCTTATCTTAACAAAAAGTCACACAGCTTTAAAAACCAGCTTGGCCTATTGATTTTACTCAAGTGTTAGAAAAAAATTATATTTTACTACAGGGACCTCTCTCTCACAACATGGAACAAATATCCTAATTTTTTGTTGTTGTACTTTGGATTAAAATCCATACTGATTCTTACTGTGTCCTGAGGAATGCTAGATTTTTGAGGTAAGGGTATCTTTTTCATTGTTTGGAGGAGAAGTTTGTGACCTTTCATTCCTATCTCATTTGAGGTTTATTTAAAAATCTAGTCTTTTGCTTCACTAGAATAAGAAAAATGCTTTCATACAACAGAAAATGGTACTCTCTTTACGCTTAAAAAGTATGAGGGAGAGTTTCATGTGGACAACTGTATCATCACAGTGGTAGTTTAATCAGACAGAGATTTTTCTAGATGGAATCTAGCAGGCAATAATATCTTCATGATCTTGTCACTATGTGTATTTATTCTTTTGCCTGAATCTCTCTCATTGCTGTTAAGTCAGAATCTGTTCATAGCTGACCCTCCTTTGGGTTTCTGAAACTGTAAATGGCACAAAGGAGATAGCTCATCTTTCTCCTCTAGAGCTGTTGGTAGAGTTGAACTTCTAAAGAAACAGCCTTTGGATTAGCAGCACAGCTCCCTACAGTGTAGACAGCTAGAATTCCCTTTTGCCTGCCTGTATAGAGGAAGGAAATGATCCTAACCCGTATGACAGTATAATCGATAACTCTCCAAGGGATGTATAGTATCTGTATCCTGTATTTTGCATACTGAAAAAAGTAGTATTTTGTTTCCATATTTGCTTATTGGGACAGTGGTACCTGAGAACATTAAGACACCATACATACTGTCCTTAGTTATCTTAGAAGTGATATGCTGCTGAGTATTTTATATTTAAGTCTCATTGCTTGAGAGTAATCATTTCTTGCTATTTTTAATTAAATTTTTGCTTTAGTTCCTTAACTTCTCATGGGTTTTTATAAATGAAATTGTAAAATAGATAACATTTTCTTTTTCCAGTAGCTTTTTTGAATCTCATTTACATTCAGATAAAAACTGTAATGTATGAAACTCCAAATAGATTTTTTTTCTTATAGGCTATAAATGCATTGTGTTCTGTTTTAATTATAGGCAGAAATTCTTCCCTCGTGTACTTTTCACACATTTTTCAAATATTTTAGGAATTTTCAAAAACTCAAGGGGAAGGGGTATGTGTTTTGTTAAAAAGAGCTGACAAAGGAAAGCTCTAACACATAGCTAACAAAGATTCCTAATTATCTTCTGCAAATAAACTCCTGGGAATTCTTGGATCTCACAGAATTAATTGCAGGGAAATAGAAGCCACACATCTGCTGTGTCTTTAAGAAGGCCAGGGTGAACATGAGGAAAATTTTATTCTTGGAAAATTTTCCAGTAGCAAAATTCTCCAAAGATAATTCTTTTATGGAGCTGAAAGTACTTTAGGGCTTTGGGTCAGGAGAGATTTATTTTAAGATGATTAAAGGTAATACTCCCTAAAGAGATTATAAAGTAAAAAAATACAACTTTTAGTTTAACAAGTTTTTTGTAACTTTTCACTATGACACCCTAATTCAGAAATATCTCTTGTATCAGACACCTTAGGTTAAAGAAACAAGAGATGCAATCCCTGCTTTTAAGAAGCTCTGCAGAGTAGAGGGTGGTAAGCAAGTAATCCAGTGATGATTGCAGAGTGATAGAGGCATTGCTTGAAAACTCACAAGTCACTGAATACCTTTGCATTAGAGAATGAAATCTTCTCTGAGGGTACTAAAAAATTCCAGAGGTAATATTAATTGAGATAATGGCCTGTCAAGTATATGTGCATTTATATATACCTTTACCTTAAGATGTTGTCAAAGCCAAACTATAACCACTAACATTAATTAAATCATACTCTGTGTCAGATACTGTTCCGTTTGCTAGGTAATGTTATTATCCTCACTTTATGGATTAAGAAACAGACCACAGGTCAGGAACATGCCCAGCATTAACTTGTAATGGGGTAGGGACAGGGCTGGATCCTAGCCACCCTGATTGCAGAGTTCTCCCTCTTTTTTTATGTTCTGTGTAACATAAAATTTACCTGTTAAAAAAAAAAAAACCAAAAAAAACCCAACAAACCATAGATTTCTAAATCACACCCCCCTGGTGGTGTGTTAAGAGGGTTTTGAGCTACAGTTGTGTGCTTGATGCCGGCTCCTTGGGGATCGTTCTGGGTAGAGCGAGTAAAAGGGCATTTTCACTGGTTAGTGGATACTTGCATGTATAATCTTACTGACAACTAATAATAAGGCTAGGACCAAACCTTTGTATTTATGGGGTTCAGTGAATCCATCTAGGCATTTTCAGTGCCTTGCTTTCAATTAAGCTACATTAACTTAAAAAATTTTGAATTTTCGGATCTAGGGACATGGCTCTTAAAAAGGAAATAAAATTATTTAAGTAGTACTATAGTATTAGTTGGGGTCAAGCGTAGCTAAATATAAATATTAAGTTAATATTTGGCCTTACTATCCTTAATGTTGTTGATGTTTTGGGGGTTTGGCAAGATAAATTAGCAGCAAACTAATTTTGGATACGTAAGGGGGTAGGGGGGTTTGCGTAAGAAAACCTAATACTTGAAAGAAAACGTACACGTGTGTGCGTATGCATATACACGGGTGTGTGCGTATGTGTGCACGTGGGTGATTGGGAAATTAGGTATAAAAAAAATTATGTCCTGTAACCATTGACTGAATAACACCTGAATTTAATATGAGCTCGAAGAACATTTTCATGTTGGGTCTGGCTTCAATCAATTTGACTGTATTAAGGTTGGTAACCCATTTGAATCAGGCACCCCGAAAATTAAAAGATACCAAATGCATGACACCACAGTTATGTGTGAGCATGGGCTGATTAGTTATTAATCCATCGAGATGTCTTATTTAAGAGGAAAGAATGGGCGATTTTAGGTGAGATGGTCCTGAAGAAAGAACCAGATGCCAGGTATAGTTTCATTATAGAAACCCCCACATTTAATGGGCCTGGAGCGAGCAGAGAGGTATAAGGTGGAAGGGTTGTTGGTTTCTCGAAGCTTGGTGATAATAGAAAGATAAGGGTGATGGTAAGCATGGTTTGAAGGATAAGGGTGGACTTGTTAATGTATATATATAATATGTATGGGGAGATACAATATATGCACGATGTACATAGCGTGTAAATAAGCAGGAAGTAGTTTAATTAGAATGCCAGCTTTGGGTGCTGGAGGTGGGATACTTATCTTCTTCCTGATGTCCTAAGGAAATTAATTTCCATTGGTGGTTTACAAGACCACAGTAATTGTTATACTATTAGGACTTGATTTTAGATTATCATTTTAGTATGTGATTTTCAATTAGGCTAGCGATAGGTATAATTACGAGGATTAATGCAAAGTATAAGATTGATGCTAGTTGGCCGATGATGATGTAGGGGTGCTCTACTGGTTGTCCTCCGATTCAAGTAAGTGTAAATAGATCTGCTACTAATACTCAAAATAGGAACTGGCTGATTGGGCGGAATATGAGGCTTCGTTGTTTAGAGGTATGGAGAAGTGGAAAGATAGTAAGGATGATGATGGATAAAATTAAGGCTAGGACTCCTCCAAGTTTATTAGGGATAGATCGACGGATAGCGTAAGCGAATAGGAAATATCCCTCTGGCTTGATATGGGGAGGAGTATTAAGAGGGCTGGGGAGTAAAGGTAGAAGAGGTAGCAAAAAGGGCCCAGAAAAAATTGAGGGGTAGAGAGGCATGATTGGGAAAGGAGAGGGTTATTTCCCTCATGGAGGCACAGGTACACCATTGACAATCAAAAATATATCTTTTTAATAATTTTCCAGAATCTTCATATTTGACTGCTAGATTTCTGAGGAGACAGGAAAGGTTCTTTTAAAATAAAATATAAATTAAGACCACTTGGAGCATGAAATTGGCATACAGTTTTAAATTTTTAAGCAACAGGGAGGAAAGTTCTAGATTGGAAATGAGATGTGGAATTTAATTTCTCAGAAGCTTGTCTTAAGGTTAAATTACTGTTGCTACTAAAGTACGAGAGAAGCACCATTGGCAGTCAACACGTAAGCATTTTGAGCATCTGCTGGTTCAGAGCCACTTAATTGTTGGTGTGATGGCCGGATCTTATTTTTCACTCATGTTCTGCCCATCATTTCCCCCCTTGCCCTTAATACAGCCCTCTTGCTTCAGTGTCTTCATAAGCCTACTTCAGAGACTTTACCTTACTGCCCTTGCTCCAAGAATTGGCCTTTGTGCTTCAACCACCCAAGGTCCCCACACCCTGTTTATCCTTTTCTGAGTCCACTGGACCTGGGACAGGAAGACCTTATTAAAAACTGTATGAAACCAAGTTGTCTGTTAACTCTTCAGAGACCTGCCCTCACCCCCTTTCTGCTGATACTTTAAAAGGAATTTTCCCTGCTTATATGTTTCTTTTCCTAGAGAAAAAGCCAATTAGAATAGTAGTGCAGTGTCATAATAGAATGAGCAGCCAGTTATTACCTTGATTGGTGGTGCTGGTTCCCTTCCCATCTCCTTTCAGACTCTGATTTCCCATGAAGAGGGTGGGCCATTAAAATTGTTCCTGTCCCTCTGTTGTATGTGCATTTTAACTTTGTTATCTCTCTTTACTGCATTTTTCACTCCCAACTCCCTGTTTTATTTTCTGGAATCTTCCAAGCAGGCAGCTGTAACTTTGTCCTTCCCACCCAGCCCCCACACTTGCCCCCAGGGAGATGAGAAGAGAGCACCCTCTCTGTGGGATTAGGCCTAGGTAGCTGTTGTAACCTGAGAAAAGAAGGAAAAAGGCCAGGCCTATTGAGCCAGCAGTCAGCGCCTGAGGCCTGCCCTCCCTCTGAGTGAGGCCTTGCTCACTCGGCTCCCTCCCCTGCTGCAGCAGGGCCCTCCCCCATCCGCTCACACAGGCTGCTGGGTAAGTGGCAAGATGGCTCCCCTGCATGTCTCCGGCTGATCGCTGCCGCTCCGCCAGTACAATAGAGCCAGCCACTACCAGCAGCCTGGCCCTCTACCTCCTCCACCTCCAGAGAGACCAGCCCAGCCGAACTCGGGGTTTGCCGTGAGAACTTAACGCTTATCTCTTAAAAGCCAGATCTATTTTAGCCTCCCCTCACCGCCACCACCTCCCCTTCCATTTACCATTTTTTGGATTCCCCAGTTTGCTGCATCTCGATTTTCTCTCTCTGGATTGGGTGGTTGGGGTGGAGGTGGTGGGATCTTGAAACAAGGAAGGTATTTTGTGTTTTATTTTTGTTTTTTTTAGGATTTTTTTGTTTGGTTTTTGTTATTTCTTCATTCCAGAAAGGGATAAACAGCACTTCCAGGGGGAGAAAAAAAAATCATGTTATCAGAAAGCAAAGAAGGGTGAGAGCTTCACATTTCCACATATCCCTTTTTCCCCATCGCTCATCTTCTTTCTTTTCCCCGTGACTTTCATTCCGCTTTTTGTTTTGGTTTGTTTTCAGTCATTCTGCCTTCCTCCTTTGTCCTTCCTGCCCAGTTTCTAATTGGCCCCACTTGGCCTCTCAGAGTGGGAAATAGGTACTTTGTGGATAAACCTTTTCTGTAGCCTTAAGCAGTTGAATTGAGTGTTTCTGTTTGGGCCTGTTAGCTAGGGGCACAGTTCTGAATTTCCCCTCCCCTCCCCCCTTCTCATGCGTCCCTCCCTGACTGCTCAGGGAGGCTGTTCTGACCTCAGAGTGTGCCAGCCCTGTCGAGAATGCTGGATTTTCTGGTGGTGGTTATCTTCCTGGGAGGTTTGGTTTCCCTTTTCCTGAGGCTTAGGCCCCAGGTCATCTTGGTTTCATTTTTTCCTCCTACTATTTGAGTGAAGGTGAGTGAGGTATAAGTTAAGAATGAAGACAGAAAAAGAAGATGGGAAGATAGTTTATCTGAAGTGAATCTCTGGAACTCTTTGCCTGACACGGAAGCAAACTTGTGTGGTTCAGAGTTGGGGGGTTATGGGTTTGTGACTGTTGGGGGAAGATGTATGGTGTGGGGGAGGGTGTGTCCTGACAGATGCTGGCTTGCTGTATTTCTTGTAAGATGGAATGAGGGAGTGGGTTCTGAAACTGGATGAAAGCAGAATGTAAGAACAGTTCTTGTGTCTTTCAGTGTAAAAGTGGCGTGATTGGTCTCAGCTTTAAACTCTTCAGCAGTTTTAATTTTTCCTGGTGGATAAGAGAAAGGCCTTGTTGAAGTGTGAACCTTTACAGACCACCTTTTTTTCCTGCCTTCTCAACTGTTTTCTCTATTCCTGTTGTCTTTAGATCCTAACAAACCTTTACTTATGAAGCAGTTGATTAAACACATTTGCCACAGCTGTGTGACCATACTTTCTACGTCTTTTTATGGAATCAGACTTTCCCTAGTTTCTAATGCAATTTTCCTAGATAAAAGTTATCTGTAGCCAGGGAATAGATGTGGCTAAATCATAGTCACTTTCATGGGACTTTTCAAGTGGAATGTTTCTCTTCATGTAAGAGTATTCTGGTGAGTTAAGGCAGAGCAGTTAGAGTCCTGTCTCCCCCACACAGCAGCTTTATTCCATCTGGGCAGTGGGTGGATCTGGTTTCACTAATTTGTGTTTCCCACCCTCTAAGGAGTGTTTCCCACTTTCCCCTGGGGGTTAGGTTTTTAGTCTGATCTGGTCAGAAAGCGATCCACCAGCCCCACCCAAGTGAGGAGGCATTTTGAGTTTCCTGACCCAAAAGCTAATGTTTTGCTTTCTCCCCTTAATTCTTTTCCTGCCCTTCCCTCCCAACCTCTCCTCATACTGTCAGTGAGGAGAAGGAGGAAATGAACATGGACACAACTGAGAACAGACCTGAAAATGAGGTTCCAGAGCCCCCCATGCCTATTGCAGACCAAGTCAGCAATGATGACCGCCCTGAGGGTAGTGCTGAAGATGAGGAGAAGAAAGAGGTAAATATCCAAGCCACCTGTTGGGGTGGGTGGGTAGAGGTGAACCTAGGAGAAAGAGTAGACCATGCTGGTGATTGCTCTTACACCGAGGGATAGGTTACAGAGGAAAAAGGCAGAGACTTGAATCAGAGTTGGGCCAAGGGAGAATTCGCTGATTTAGCAAGGGAAGCCGCCTGAGATGGAGTCAGGGCCTAGTCATTCTACTTTCCTTTTTTTTGTGGGAGAGTATATAATCTAGACTCTTGGAATTTTTTTAACTGGAAAGTCAATTAATTAACGGTTTTCTTCCTAAGACCTAGGCTCAGATTTTCCTGTTGTTTTTTCAAGCTTCAAAGAGTGCTAACTTCTAGGTTTCCCTCCTTTTTAAAAGCCTAGTGAAGCTCAGCGCCATCTAGTGGGTTTTGGTGATTCTTACTAAATTAGCCATGTTGAGGAATTTTTGCTCCTCATTTGCCACCTAGTGGTCTCTTTGCAGATAACGTATCTACTTTGAAACCAGGATCTGGGGTAATCCGGAATACCCATTATCTCCGATCCCTCTGCCTCTTTTCTGACATATAATTAAATTATGCCCTGCACCCATTTCAGCGGGTTCTTCCCATCAGAGCCAGCGAAGTCTTCTTGACTCTTTAGAGTAAAAGAAAAGAATTAGCTGGGTTTGGGAGTGAGGTGGATGGGTGGGAGGAGGGACTGTTGTGTGTGTAGCATTTTTCTGGTGTGTGTTGCGGGGGTGGGGGCCGGTGAAAGTGATTTGATGTGCAGAATATTATTTATTACAAGGTCCTTCTTCCCCGTAAAACTTTGTCCAAGTACCTCATGTACGGTAATTCGCCCGTAAAATATAACCCTGCCCACCTGGCCAATCGCTGATGCCGCCTCTTCCTCTGGACCCACCCGCTGCTACTGAGCTGCCCAGTCAAAGCCGAGTCTGCTATCCAGGTGTCTTGGCCAGAGGGGGCATGTATACCGGCTCCAGTGATGGGCCCCCTTTTGCCTCCCTGCCTTGTTTATATCAGGGGGCTAAGAAGAGCACTGTTGTGGAGAGACTTGTATTGAGAACAAAAAAAAACCAAACATTTGAATTGGGGTGGACTTGCATTATCTCCCTACTTGGGACACTCCAAGAAGAACTTGTATCAGTGCTGGGGCACCTGCCCACATGCGCTTGCCCTTTTGAGGACTGTGAGTTGCATTGTTGGCTACAGACTTTTGGGATCCCCATCCAGTGCACCAGAATCACCTAAAGAGTCAATGTGATCACAGTACAGTCCTGTAAAATACTGAGTGGAGTCCTCATTTGAAGCTGTGATGACAAGGAACCTTGCAGAAGAGTCTAGGGTCTGAGCCCCAGAGATTTAATGCTGATGACAACCCAGCTTGTGTATAACCACTTGCTCATCAGATGGACTTTCCTTTGGTCCCTCCTGTACATGCTGAAGGACCACATACTGGTTGCTCCATCTTCTCCATCCCAGGAGGCAGGAGCTCACTTCTACCTGACTGCAACCACTGTCTCAGTTGGAGTCCCCGAGGAAATGCCACACACAACTCTCAGAAGAAATGTTCTGACCTTGCTGCTGATATTTCCAGTCCTGGGGATACCCACCTGCTATCCCCAGGCTACTTTCATCCGAGGCTCCATGATCCTACTTGGTGAGAGGACCCCCTCCTCAGTTACAGGCAGAAGAGAAAGGGACTCTGAAGCCATCACTTGGATTCTAAGTATTGAGTGGTGGTATTGTGGCAGTTTGCCACTGGTGGACATACATGGTCCTGGCTGCCTCACAATAAAAGCCAAGGATCATTTCTGCTACTCACAGGCCACATCTCATCAGGGACTACAAGTTGAAGCCCCTCCAGGGCTGGGACTGATAACTCCCTTTCCCCCCTCTGCCCCTGGCTGAACCTGGCCACCGCCAATGAACTGTCTTAACATCATGGAAACTGGGCAGTGTCCCCTCACACGTTTCCCTCCCGCCCCCCCTGCGCCCCTGGGAGGACTCTGGCAATGCCGTGCTGACCACCACGCCGTGCGCCCACCTTTTTTGCCAACCCAACCCCCCACCAATTGCACAGCGCCTAGCAGGGAGGGCTCATTCTGATTGGACCGTCGGTTGACTAGATACAGTACACAGTGAGGTGCGATTGGCTGAACTGAAGATCCCAGGTGTGAGATGGTACCTGGAACATTTGTCATATTCCTAGTTTATTTTCCTCTTTATTTTCTTCTCTTTTTTTTTTTTTTCCTTTTCCTTTTGTATCTTTTCGTTTTAATTTTTTTATTTTCCTGGTTTCTTTTTTAATTAATTTATTTATTTGATTAATGTTTTTCCTGTTTTAATTAAGGGTTTTTTTTGTTTTGTTTTTTATCCTCTCACTAACACCCATCGAAAGTGGCCCAGCTAGGGGTCAAGCTGGCCCTTAATGGAAACCAAGGAGACTTGGTTAGACGACAAAAACTGGGCTGGGGGTGGGTGGAGAAAATAGATTTCATCAAGAGGATCCTACCCTAACTCTTAAAAAGATAGTAGGGTGGTCTTAGTTTTTCCAGAAATAAGCAGTTAAATCTAAGTTTCCTGTTTCCCTTTTCTCGCTTTCCCTCCCCCCTTCTTGCTCTGCCCATAGTTTTTTCTTCCACTGAACATTTAAGGTAGAGACTTGCCCCCTAAACTGCCTTGTAGTCCCTGACAGAGACACTAAAACATGATCTTTGATTGAAAAGGAAACAGGGCTCTGCTAGAGCCATGTAAGGTGTTTGAAAGGTCCACAAATCTCCCTGGAGATAGTCTTTCCTTAAGAAATTTTTCTTTCACTAAAGCACTTAAATACTTTTTGCTGGCACTTTGCTCTTAAATGACAGCACCAGATTCACTGGAGATGAGACTTTTTTATCGGTGGGCATCTGGAGAGTCAGGTGACCTAGTGCCACTGTCAGTGCAAGTCAGTCTGGACACAAAGAAGGAGGAGGATTGTCTTACTGATCTTGCCATCCTCAAGTTTGTTTCCTTATGTTAGTAAGTAGAGACCCAGCAAGACTAGTTTATTTCATTCTGGGCACAGTTACTGTACTTGGAGTCTTCCCAACCTCCTTTGACGGGCTAAGGGGCTACCCAGTTCTTATGCCAGCTTATTTCTGGTTAAGCTAATAACACAGGTGTAGTATGGACTAGATGACTTTCTTGCTGTGATGTTTAGTTTTTGGTGTTTTGTTTTTGTTGGGTTCCCCCCCCCCTAACTTGCATTGATTCTGCTTCATTTTTGCCGTTTGCTGCTTCTGTTTGGTCTCTGTCTGTCTCTGTGTCTCTTTCTGTGTCTTTGGAACTTGTGCTAAGGCTGCTCCATCTAACCTCCTCCCCCCCTCTCTGTGGGGTGTGTCTCTTTCTCTTTTCCCCTTTTCTTCTCTATACAGAGCTTGCTGCCTAAATCATTCAAGAGGAAGATCTCCGTTGTCTGTAAGTCTACCCCAAATCGTTCATAAAGGTCAGAATACCATAAAAATTAGAGTTCACAGGGAAATAAAATCTCATTTTCACTTTATATCTCTCTGGAATTACTCATCTAGTGAAGATACCTTTTACATACCTGAACATTCAAGAATCAGGAGTGGGTTTGAGAGACTCCTTTTTATGATGGGAATTCTTACCATTTTACATTTATTTTGTATGAACTATGAACAGAAGAAAATTGAAAAGCCTACACCTCACTATCACTAGTATAATTTTTAAACATTTTCTTAATATAGAACTATTTGTAGATTGATTGAAGTATACATATTATAACTTAAGTATCAATCTATGAAAAGAAATCAGTCCTCTTGTTTGTTCTGAGTCCCACATTCTCAGTCTTTCCCTCTATTTTTAGACATGGTTACCTGCCACTGAAAATGTAAACTACTTACCAAGTTAGTGAACCACCACCCTTTCTGTCTTAATTTGTCATACCCGTCTGTCAGAAGATGCCTCTTTTGTTCACTCTGAAGCCATGCCTTCTTTACTTAGTCTCCAAACATCATTTCCTTCAGTTAACCTTTTACTAAAATGCCGTCCAAAGGCTTCTTGGTGGGTGTTGTGTGTGGTGTGACTTAGTAGAAAGCCTGAGTTCATCTAACTGTTGGGTACTATTTCTTGGGGACAGCAGCTACCAAGGGGGTGCCAGCTGGAAACAGTGACACAGAGGGGGGCCAGCCTGGTCGGAAACGACGTTGGGGAGCCAGCACAGCCACGACACAGAAGAGACCCTCCATCAGTATCACCACTGAATCACTCAAGGTGAGGTGGGAGGAGCCAGGGAAGGGAGGATGAGACCTGTTAAGGTGGGAGTAGGCTTGGGCCCAGTATAACGGGGTGGGGGCGTATCTGTGTCCCAGAGCCTCATCCCCGACATCAAACCCCTGGCGGGGCAGGAGGCTGTTGTGGATCTTCATGCTGATGATTCCCGCATCTCTGAGGATGAAACGGAACGAAATGGTGATGATGGGACCCATGACAAGGGGCTGAAGATTTGCCGAACAGTCACCCAGGTAAGACTTCTTCATCCTTTTTAGTGAAGCATCATTGAACACAGATCATGTAGCTCAGGAGCCAAGATAAAGTCCTGCAAGGGAAACCTGCCATCTTTCACAGAGTTTGGTTAATTGATGTTTGATCCCTCTCGTGCCCTCAAGGTTCATCAGATTACCAATTTCAATCTGCTGTCAGCCACATTAGGTTTTTTACTCGTGATTGTGGCTGCTTTGGTGGAGCTCTTGTGACATAGTCTGTAAGGAGTTGCACTAACTCAAAAAAGGCACCTCTAGGTATTTGAATAAATCAGTTGCCCTGCAAGAGAAAGATGGGCCATCTCTTCCCATGCAATTTAGAGCCTTCTGAAAACCTGCTGAATGGTCAGCTTTGCATTAGTTCCAACACAGTGGCAATGAGTTTTGGCAATATAAGTATGGCTGTTGCTTTCACACTACAATATTATAGTAGTATTATAGTTGGTAACAGACTGTATGGCTCAGAAAACCTGAAATATTTACTCTTTTGCCCTTCACAGAAACTGTTTGCTCACTCCTATTTTTGTTTTCTTCGTAGCAAAGTTGGAGTGCTAACAGGCCCAGTATCTTTTGGAAGTGAACTTAATCTCTTGTAGTGGAAGGAACATGCTTTGTTGATTCTGTGCTCTCCTACCACAGAACCAGAAGTGGCAGATATACCAGCTTCATGCTTAACAGACTTCCTCTTTACAGGTAGTACCTGCAGAGGGCCAAGAGAATGGGCAGAGAGAAGAGGAGGAAGAAGAAAAGGAGCCTGAAACAGAGCCCCCTGTAGCTCCCCAGGTTTCAGTAGAGGTTGCATTACCACCGCCTGTAGAGCATGAAGTAAAGAAAGGTGGGTGACCTGCATATGACATAATGCAACTCCCTGAATTCTCCTAGTACTTTATTTGGGTTTCCTTTTAAGATTTGCTGCTGTATTATATTTTCTGTATTTATCTTATGGATTGACATCATAACTGCAGCTTGCTTGAGCATGGCAAAAATGAAAATGGACTATGATAGGACAAGGTCACTATGAGTCACAGGACTTGGCAGCACCTAACCCTCTCCTCTTAGGCTGCTAGGGCATGAGATTGGAAACTCTTAAAACTTGAAGCTTCACAGTGGAGTGAGATGTGAAAGCAAACATTATACTTTACTAAATGGCATTTGTGTATTTTATTTTCTTAGTGACTTTAGGAGATACCTTAACTCGACGTTCCATTAGTCAGCAGAAGTCTGGAGTTTCCATTACAATTGATGATCCTGTCAGAACTGCTCAGGTTCCCTCCCCACCCCGGGGCAAGATCAGTAATATAGTCCATATCTCTAATTTGGTAAGTTAAAGCTTTTTTCCCCCACATCCTCACCTTTTTTATTTTTGTTAACAGTGTGAGTTTTAACCTTGAACTCTTCCCTAGCTTCACCTTCCTTGCTACTTAACCATTGACCTTGAACAAGTTATTAAATCCTTCAGCCTGTTTTCTCATCTAAATAATAGGAATTTTTTATAAGTATCATCTTGTGACGTTTACTATAATGTACATAAAGCCTTTGGTAGGGGCCTAACATGCAATATCTTGGTAATTGTCATTTCTCTTTTCATGTGTCAACAAGAGGGTGCTTATTGTCTGCTTTTACCTATATCCCTTAACCCCTTGAAGCTGTAATTCCAAGTCCCTAAAACTCTATTTTCATTGGCAGGTTCGTCCTTTTACTCTAGGCCAACTGAAGGAATTGTTGGGACGTACAGGAACCTTAGTGGAAGAGGCCTTCTGGATTGACAAGATTAAATCTCACTGCTTTGTAACGGTGAGGAGAAAGGGCTGATTCTATAGGTTCTGGGTGGTATATAGTTCCCCTTGTGATGTGCGAGGGCCCAATATAAGGATATTTTGGCAAGTAGGAAAGGTTAGAACCATGTTGTGACCCTTTTCCTTCTCCCTTCCTCTGTTAGTACTCAACAGTAGAAGAAGCCGTTGCCACCCGCACAGCTCTACATGGAGTCAAATGGCCTCAGTCCAATCCCAAATTCCTTTGTGCTGACTATGCTGAGCAAGATGAGGTAGGAAAGCAAGGAAAAGGAATAAGACAGAAGGGATGGGGAGGACATTATCTCCTGTGTTCAAGCTGATATCCTGACCAGTCCCACAGTCTCCAAAATGTCTCTTCTGGTCTTCTCTCTTCACCTTTCACTTTGGTTCCTTTACTATAGCCTTGCAATCTGAGCTGCTTCTGTTGAAATGATACCAGTCTCTGTCCTGACTATCCTTGTCGTGTGTTTTCCCCCCCACCCGGTTCACCCACAGCTGGACTATCACCGGGGCCTTTTGGTGGATCGTCCCTCTGAAACTAAGGCAGAGGAGCAGGGAATCCCAAGGCCCCTACACCCTCCGCCCCCACCCCCAGCTCAGCCACCACAGCATCCCAGGGCAGAGCAACGGGAGCAGGAACGGGCTGTGCGGGAACAGTGGGCGGAGCGTGAACGGGAAATGGAGCGGCGGGAACGAACTCGATCAGAGCGAGAATGGGATCGGGACAAAGTTCGAGAAGGTCCACGTTCTCGATCACGGTCTCGTGACCGCCGCCGAAAGGAACGTGCAAAATCTAAGGAAAAGAAGAGTGAGAAGAAAGGTATTTAGCTTGTATCTACACAAAGCCCTCTAGCAAGTAAGAAGGGGACCCAGTAGGATGAGGTGCAGAGCGTAATGCTTCAAATCTAATTGAATTTTTTCTGCCCCAGAGAAAGCCCAGGAGGAACCTCCTGCCAAGCTGCTAGATGACCTTTTCCGAAAGACCAAAGCAGCCCCTTGCATCTATTGGCTTCCACTGACTGACAGTCAGGTGAGTACTGCCTTTCCTGACCTGCTTAAACTACATTGGGGCTTGGGGTCTGTTCAAGCAAATGAAACAGAAGATCGTTGGGAAAAGCATTGATTGGTATACCAAAGGGAATCCACATGCAGAACTACCAACACAAAGACAAGAACTGAGCTTTATTGCCACCCAACCTACTTGGAAATCTTTGTTCTCTATTTCTCTGCCTTTTTTTAAAAAATGGTCTTGGATGTTTGTGTTTATTGGGGTTCCCCCTTCAGTTTATAGTTTCTTAGTGACAAAAAGGCCTTTTAGGAATTTTACATCTAGGGTAAATGAAGGTGCCTTCTAGGAAAGTGCCAGAATACAGGCACGGTTGATATGAATATGTTTTGAGAGTGTAAGAGTTGAAAACCTAGAGTATAAAGGATGCTCCGATAGGAACAGAGGTAATTGCTAGAAATTCCCCTTTCCCTGTTTATACCTAGGCGTGGGGTTGGATAGTGGTGGTGGTTGTGGTTATTAATTTTAATGAAAGTTTACTGAGACTTTGGATTTCCATTCCATTCATTCATTGTTGCACTTTTCTCCCAACCTTGGGGTTGGTCTTTAAAGTTTTTGGTGCCATGTCTTCACATGGAGACAGCTGCAAAGCTGAGTGACCATGAGTCAGGGGTGTAGGGGATCCAGGTGCAGATGGATGTGGTGGGATTGATACTGGAAGGGCTAAGATGCCTGGTCTCCTTTCCTTCCTGTTTACAGATTGTTCAGAAGGAGGCAGAGCGAGCCGAACGGGCCAAAGAGCGAGAGAAACGGCGAAAAGAGCAGGAAGAAGAGGAGCAAAAGGAGCGGGAGAAAGAAGCTGAGCGGGAAAGGAACCGACAGCTGGAGCGGGAGAAACGTCGAGAGCACAGCCGAGAGAGGGAAAGGGAGAGGGAAAGGGACCGAGACAGAGGAGATCGAGATAGAGAAAGGGACCGAGAGCGGGGCCGGGAGAGAGATCGCAGAGACACCAAGCGCCACAGCAGGAGCCGGAGTCGGAGCACACCTGTGCGAGACCGGGGTGGGCGCCGCTAGCTGGGAAAAAGATGGAAAAGAGCTGCAGGCATCAGCCACGCTGCCCCAGGTGGGTAAAGGCCACAGAGGGATAGGTACAATATCCACCACCCTGGAACCACGGGTCTTTCACATCATTTGCCCAGTGCTGAAGTATGGCTGCCACTTGTCCCCACAAACCAAGTGGAACAGTGGCCACTCTACCCCAGCCCACCCTATCTTGGGACTTAGCCCTCTTCTCTCTCCTTTCCCAGTGTTCAGTCTTGGAGAGGTAAGGGCTAGGCTAGGGAGGGAGGTGATAGGCCGAGAGGTGGTGTGTGCCCCAAATCTAATGCAGTTTTTCTCCACCTTGCTCAGCGCCTCCCTTGTGTACTCATCAACCTCTTGGGAACAGCCGGGGCCAGGACTGGGTCACCTATGAGCTGAATCAGCATCTCCTCCTGAGTCCCCAGGCCCCTGCAGTTCCCAGTCTTTTCTGTCCTTTGGCCCTGCCTCTCACCCATCAAGCCCACTGGTTCCACTTTATATCCACCTTTTCCTTTTGTTCTATTTTTATTTTTATTTTTTTTATTATTAAATGATGTGGTCTATGGAAAATAATAAAAATCTGACTTAGTTTTAACTAGTGTGTGAATGACTTTCATTGGGCAGGACTTTCATGAACGTCAGTGGAGAATGGTCTTAACCACATAGCATTGCATACACCACATTTTAGACTCGGAGCTACAGTGCAGTAGCATGGGGCTAACCAAAAGTTAAGCAGTTCCAGTCCCCTGGCTGAGCCCTCGAAACCCAATAAAGCATTTACTGGGAGGGGAGCTCCGGCTCCAGAAGGAGGGACGGTCTCCTGTGCCAGCAGGATTAGATTCGAGGGCACTCAAGTTAGAAAAAAGTTATCAGGAATCAAAATTACTAGAAGGCACAGAGGGTATTTTAACTACTACTACCTAGAGAAGGGACTTAGTGCTGTTTTCCATTTCAGCCTTAACTCTAGTCAGGTCAGAGTCTTGGCTCTAACTCAGAGGAAGATGGATAAGTGGAACGTCCTAGTTAAACCCAAAAGGTATGGGAGGGCAAAGCCCCTGTTCCACATTCGTTGTCCAGTGCAGATTAGATTTTGGGTCACCCGCTTGCCTTGGGGATGTTTCTCACAGCTGCCACCAGGGGGCAGTAGCTCCTCGCCTAAATAAGCTCATGTAAAAAAGCTTCGGAAAAAACGGGTTCCTCTGTCCGATGCTGCCAGGGTCTCGCCATCGTTCCCGGGGCTGGCCCCAAACCACGGACTCCGTAGATCCTTCTGTCCTTAATTGCCCTCCACCGGACCCTCTACTGTTACCTCCATGAGTTCTGAAAATACCTCCACCACCTTTTAGTCACAGTCCACATCAACCCCAAATGCTGGTCGAGGAGTGAGGATCAGGGCTTCTCTGCAATGGGCTACTCATTCTGCTAACTGCTGTCCCGCTGGCCCTTTGGGGTTGCCTTTTTCAGGCGTCCAGGCAGCTTCGTGTATACAGTGCACCCTCCAGGCCAGTGCTTCGGCAGTGTCCTGGCGCTGTGGCTTGGGCCTCCTCCTGACCGGGTGCCCTGCCGCTTGGGTGCCCTGCCGGGTGCTGCAGGCTCGGCAGCGGCGCCGCATCTGTATGCGCCCGAGAGCGCTGAGGGGCGGGCGTGAGGCGCCCCCGCCCCCACCGCCGGCCAGCCCGGCCGGGGAGGGTCGGAGGCTGGGCTCTCCTCTCCCGCGCGGCGCGGAGCCGCCTCGCTCCTCCGCAGGCGGAGCCTTCTTCCCCCGCCCCCTCTGTCTCGCTCCCTTGTTCTCGCCGGGGCCGCTCAGACCTGCAGCGGAGCCGCGGCGCCCGCTCAGATCGGCTCTGGGCTGCGCCTCCCAGGACCCGGTGGCGGGCACAGGCGGGAGCGCGCCCGGGAAGGCTGGGTCCTCGGCACTGCCAGGTAAGGGAGCCCGGGATCGGGAACCTGCGGAGGGGCAGCGGGGTCTGCAGCCTGTAGGTGTCTTCCGAGCTGTGCGCTTCAGGCTGGAAGCCCACCGCTGGTTCCCTTCTCCCGCGCTCTTACCCTTCTTCCTTCTCACCTCGCTTTCCCATTTGCCTCCCTTGGTTTCTCTTTACCCTTCTCTCTCTCTGCCTGTTTGTCTTTTCTGCTCCTTCTCTCTCTCCCCCGATCCCTTCTCCCTCCCTCTTGCCATGTCTTTTTCCATCTTCTCTTCCTCTTTGGTTTTTCTTTCCCCTCCTTCTCCTTTCCCTCCCGCTCTGCATTCCTTCCCGTTCCCTCCTTCTTTCCTCTTCCTGCTATCCTGTTCCCCACTCCTCTAATCCCTTCTCTCCTACTCATGATGCTTCCCTCTCTGCCCGCCCCCTTCCCTCGGCTTCCCTTTCCCCCCAGAGGGAACGCACTGTCAGGTGTGTGTCTGCTTTCAGGGAGGAGGAAGGGCGGCAGCGGCATCTACCTAAGGGGTACCCTCTAGGAGAGCAGTGGAAAGGGGTCCTTCATGCAGCGCCTCTCTATCTCAGCCCCTCCTGGCTACTCCCTCTCCCAGAATGAAGTTCCCAAAGGCCTGGTCTGACCCCTACCGCTGAGGACTGCTTTTCACACACGCTGAAAGCCCCTCTGCTCACAGCCCCCTCCCCACCGTCTTTCCCACGCTTAGTACCTATGACTCCTTTTCTGCTTTTCAGGCACCAGGCTGCCTCCTTTGATCTCTTTCCTTCTGTCTCTTGCTGCCATCTGTCTGTCTTAACCAGTTTTCTCTGTCCCTGCCGGACAGACCTTGAGTCTTGATCTCACCCTCAGCATACTGTTTCTCTGGCCTCTGGGTCAGCCTTCACCACCCACCTTGCAGTCTCATGGCTTAGGCCCCCATCCCTGCTCCCTTCTCTTCAGTTCTGGAACTCACTCTGCCTCAGGAGCCCAGTCTACAGGGACTGCAGGGCACTGTGGGCTAGGGCAAGGTCTGGAAAGGTGGGCTCCACAACCCCAACCACAGGAGACCACTTTCACAGACTTGCAGTCCTGTTTTAGCATTTCATCCTGACCCTAAACCCCTTGAGGCCGTACCTCTGTTAATCCCAATCCCTGAACTTGAAGTGTTTTCCCTGAGAGCCCCAGCTCACATTCTGGTTTCATGTCCAGCCTGGGAAGACATGAGCCAGTTTAGGGTTTCAAACCCTCCTAGCATCCTCTCTCATTTTCTTCTCCAGCTCCCTTCCCACCTCGTCTTCCCTGCTCAGAGTTGACTGGATATTTATCAGCTTGGGGCTGGAGGTGAATATAGGCAAAACCTGGCCAAAGGGGAGGATTAGACTATCTGCCTTCTGTTTCTGCCCAGGGTTTGGGCAGTGAGGTATCTGGTGCCTTGGAGGTCTAGTTTTCAGATCTGAATTTGGTGGGGAGGGCATGGCATAGGTTTCCCTGACCTGAGAAGCTATTTACCTGTCCTGCAGGTGTGGATCCATGGGGTAGCCCTAATACATCTGCCCTGCACCCAGCCAGCTCATGGGCTGCCCAGCCTGGCCCAGCCTCAGTACCAGGGGCCAGTGAACAGCGCCCTGGCTGGAGCCCAAATATGTGGGGCCTGGTGAGGCTCATGCTGGCTTGGCTGGGTGGCTGGGGCTGCATGGGGCGCCTAGCAGCCCCAGCCCGAGCCTGGGCAAGGTACCAGCATGGGCCTGGGCCAGGGCTACTGAGGACCCGAAGGAGCTGGGTCTGGAACCAATTCTTTGTCATTGAAGAATATGCCGGTCCGGAGCCTGTCCTCATTGGCAAGGTAATACACCCATGTATTCCCTGACTCTTGAGACCCTTAGACCCTGCCCTATAACTTTGCCACTTTTGCTATGACCTCTGTCCCCCTGAGCTCCCAACACTTCACCCAAGCCTAGACTTTTCAATCTCTATTCCTGCCCTTAAACCTTCTGCCATTTTTGCCTGATCCCCGATAGCTGCACTCAGATGTGGACAGAGGTGAGGGCCGCACCAAGTACCTACTGACCGGGGAGGGGGCAGGCACCGTCTTTGTGATTGATGAGGCCACAGGAAACATCCATGTTACCAAGAGCTTGGACCGGGAGGAGAAGGCACAGTATGTGCTCCTGGCCCAGGCTGTGGACCGTGCCTCCAACCGACCCCTTGAGCCCCCATCAGAATTCATCATCAAGGTTCAAGACATCAACGACAATCCACCCATCTTTCCCCTTGGGCCCTACCATGCAACTGTGCCCGAGATGTCCAATGTTGGTGAGTACCATATTTCCCCACTTGATTTTCCCCAATGCCATCTGGCCCTGGCAACCCACCTCCACTAATCAGCCTCTCTCATATGAGGGCTCCCAGCATCTGCTGTTCTTCCCCACCTGGGCCTGCCCCTACTGAGTGGGTGCTGGCCAACCCCACAGGAACATCAGTGATTCAGGTGACAGCTCACGATGCCGATGACCCCAGCTATGGAAACAGTGCCAAGCTGGTGTACACTGTGCTAGACGGACTGCCTTTCTTCTCTGTGGACCCCCAGACTGGTGAGGGCAAAGCTGAAGAGGTTGGTGGGACAGCCATGGAGATGAACCCTGTTTGACCCTGCATCTCTCCCCAGGAGTTGTGCGAACTGCCATCCCCAACATGGACCGGGAGACACAAGAGGAGTTCTTGGTGGTGATCCAAGCCAAGGACATGGGCGGCCACATGGGGGGGCTGTCGGGCAGCACTACAGTGACTGTCACCCTCAGTGATGTCAACGACAACCCCCCCAAGTTCCCTCAGAGTAAGGGGCCAATGCAGCTGGCTGGGCTTTGACCATCCCATCACTGTAGCTTCTGGAGAAGCCTTCCTTACCCAGCCTCATCTTGGGACAGGCCCTGGGAGAAGGAAGTGCTGGGAGAGGAGGTGGGCTGGCTACCTCTCTAAGAATATGTCTTCCCTCCACCTGCCCCCAAGGCCTGTACCAGTTCTCTGTGGTCGAGACAGCTGGGCCAGGCACCCTAGTAGGTCGGCTGCGGGCCCAGGACCCAGACCTTGGAGACAACGCCCTAATGGCATACAGCATCCTGGATGGGGAGGGGTCTGAGGCTTTCAGCATCAGCACAGACCCCCAGGGTCAAGATGGACTCCTCACTGTGCGAAAGGTTAGCCTCCTCTCTGCAAATGCATATGTCTGCCTCCCGTTCCACCTGTTAGGCACCTCCCTAATTGGCCTAGATCAAACTCAGGGCCTCCCTAAGCTGGATTTTAGAGACCAGGGTCATTTCATCTCTGAGATGAGGGCCTGAAGCCCACAGAAGGGAAGTGACTAACTCAAGGTCATGCAGCAAGTCTAGGATGGAGCTGGGGCAAACCTCAAGTGCTTGACTAAGTGTTCTGCAACCTTGCTAGCCGTTGTGGTGTCTGCATCTCCTATTAAGAAAATAATCACTGGGTGTCAGGAGACTCAATACCTTTCTTTAACCTCTGCGTGCCCTATTTTCCACATGCTTCCTCCCACTCCCCATCTCTTCTCACCATAGAGGCTAGACTTTGAGACACGTCACTCCTACTCCTTCCGTGTGGAAGCCACCAACACACTCATTGACCCAGCATACCTGCGGCGAGGACCCTTCAAGGATGTGGCCTCAGTACGTGTGGCTGTGCAGGACGCCCCGGAGCCACCTGCCTTCACTCAGGCTGCCTACCACCTGTCAGTGCCTGAGAACAAGGCTCCCGGGACCCTGGTGGGCCAGGTGTCTGCTTCAGATCTGGATTCCCCAGCCAGTCCAATCAGGTGAGTGGGCTGTGGACTGGGGAAGGGTGAGTTCTTAGGCAGAAATCTAACCTCACGCTTCTCCCCATGGAGGATGAGCTCTTTACAGCAAATTCACACTTGCATCCTGGCAGCTCAGAAATCTCCTTCCCTTTGGCCAGCTGAGCTGGAGTCTACTCCACAGCCTGGGTACTAGGGGAGGGTTGAAGGGCCTTATTAACACTTCCGCTGCCTGACATCCCTTTGGATGGATGATAATGGCACCTCCCAGTGGGAGTGCAAAGCAGATATAATCTCATGTGATAACACTGGATAGTTATCACTGTATCATCACTCCCTAAAAACTACAGCATTTACCCCTTTGATAACATTCAGTTCTTGCACCAGCCCTATGAAGTGTAATCACCAGTTGTTCAGAGGTGAGGTAGTGAGAGGCTGAGGTCACACAGGAAGTGGGCAGAACCAGGATTTTGTTTCCAGCAGTCAGCATCCCTATTACTACTCTGTGATGGAAGCAACTGTGTTCTTCCCATTTTTCAGTTGAATAAACAAAGGTTAAATTCAAGGTCACACAGTTAGTCAGAGATCCCTGTGTTCCCAGAACAGATAGAAAATAGGCAGTGTTTATCTCCTATCTCTTTTCTGTATTCCCTACTCACCCCCAAGAAACCCAATCCCTCCAAGTCTTGGCACAAGTGTTTGAAGTTGGTAACTTCCCAAGGATATTTGCCATTTAAGGGGATTCCATCCAAAAGCATAGCCCTGGGTAAACGGAGCAAGTTCTATTAGAGCCAGATGAGCCGTGAAGCCACAGGGCGAGAGGCAGAAAAGAGTAGCAGCAAACTTCAGCATGGCTTCATCTCCCCAGATACTCCATCCTTCCCCACTCGGATCTGGAACGATGCTTCTCCATTGAGCCCGAAGACGGCACCATCCGCACAGCAGTTTCCCTGGACCGTGAGGCTCGTGTCTGGCACAACCTCACTGTGCTGGCCACAGAGCTTGGTGAGGAGTCCTGGGTCCCCAAGAGGCCAGGGGAGAGGCTGCCACCTCCTGAATGAAGGGCTGTCCTGGAGCATCAGGGAGGGTGCTGCTGGGTCCCAAGCCTGGATCATCTGCACCTGGCAGACCTGGTCTGCGAGGCTGGGCTGAGCACAGTGGGTCTGCTTGAACATTCCCCTGACCCCTAACTTAACCTTTATAAGGGCATAAATTCACCTGACTTGTCCCAGCCTGGAGATAAATCCAGCCTCAGAAAATCCCAGCCTGTGGCCTGACAGGACCTGCCCTGTCTTCTTTGCAGTTTCAGGCTGGGAGTAGGGGGCCACAGAAGGGCTGGACACCTTCTCTGGAGACTGAATTGGAGGGCACCTGTCAGTGGTGGGAGGACACCAACATCCCTTCCCTGAGAAGCCCTTTTGGAGGCCTTGATGTGGAGCTCCCACAGTGGAAGGGAGGTCAGCTTCAGGGGCTGGCTTCTCTTGCATTGTCACTTACCAGCTTCTACAACCTTGGGGTGGAAGAAAGGGGCTAATGACCCATTTTGTCTGCATAGTATGGAGACCTGCTTCTCCTCTGAACAGCCCCTCTTCACCACTGCTCATGTCCAATGGGGAAGCTGAAGGGTCTCCCTCACCCTACTGTTTGCATACCATATGGGCATTGTCCTGTGTGTATAAATATATGTGTGGACAAGGAGCTTTATGTACATGGGTATGGATGTACAAAAATGCATACATATACATGGAATATATATATATATATATATATATATATACAGAGACATGAATGTATGTCTAACTAGATCCATTTATGTATATATGAGTGTTTATGGAGTTATGTATTTGTGCATGTGTCTGTTGAATGTTTATAATGATAAATGTTGTTGATTGCCTTCAAGCCGAGCACAATTCATAATGACCCTATGAACAAAAGGCCTGAAGCCCCTCTACAACTATTGACATTTATCAAAGTTCATAGAGTTTCTAGAGGCATGTTGTTTAGGAAGTGGATGCCACTCCTGCTTTAATGACATATACATACATATATACATATACTTGTATATATGATTCTGTGTATGTGGGTATTATATAGTAATTTATTAATTACTGTATATCGGGCACTATTCTAAGCACCAAATATGGATTAATGCAATTCATCATCACCACAACATTATAAGTTAAGTAGCACTATTTCCTCATTTGAAAATGAGGAAACTCAGGCAAAGAGAAGTCAGGCTTCAGTCAGGGCTATGCTCCCTCACATACATTTTACTGTATGTATATAGGTCTATATTTTTGTGGATGCACACTCCTGTTACATGGTAGATGTGGATACATAGTTAATGTGTCTGAGTACACACCAGACACTGTGTTCTGTGTACACACACACACAGCCATGTGTCACATAATATTTGGACAACAGTTGTTGGTGCTAGACATAAGATCTTAACAGAGTTGAGAAATCACAGTTGGAGAATGGGATGGAGTGAATGCAACAGCTTGCAACACTAACACATTCATCTCATGTACACAAAGCTGTTGTGCTGCCAGGCATACAATGGTACAGTACGTATATAACCTATAGTGCATATGTCGTGATGGGTGTAATAAGAGCCTGTTACTGGCTTATGTATGCACTGTACTGTACTTTCTATCTTAAAAGTTTTCTCTTTAACAGTGTGTGCTTCAACAGCCAATCTGTTGCAGCAGCATACAATCTCATGTACCATGTGCCTCTTGAATGTTATAATGTTATCTCTCCATTTCATTTTATTTTGAAAATGTCACCATGAAGTGCATCATGGCTCCAAATGAAACAAAACCAGTGCGAGCGATAGCAGCAGCAAAAAGCAAAGATTTGGAAATGAAACAAAAAGAAACAAGAAGGTGGAATATCAGTGAATGTTGTTATTGCTTACCATGTAGGCATTTCTCACTCCACAATCACAACAATCCTCAGAAAGCAAAGAAAACATTTTCTAAGGTAAAATATCTTCTCACAGAAAGCTTTTAGAAAGCTTCAAGGCTAAGGAAAATGCTAAAGGGACCTTTATCAGATTGGAAAAATGACCAGTGATGCAGATTGAACAAACTGAATTCCTCTCAACGCAGTGATGATCGTTAAGCATGAAGCTTATGACTTAGTGGTAAGGAGTTGTACTACCAAACCAAAGACACATGGTTCAAATCTACCAGCTGCTCTACAGGACAATGATGAGCACTCTCTTCCCATGTGATTTATTGTCTCTGAAAACTCTCCAAAGGGTCAGCTAGAAATTGGTTCCGACTTGATGGTACATAACAACAAAGAAAAAAATAGGACCAGACCACCATATAGTGTTCGCACAATATCAAAATCATTAACATCTATTTTACAGAAGCTACTATGAACATTGAGCAATACATGATTGTGTGTGTCTGCTTATGCATGCATAGCTCTCCTCAGTGTGTATGTATGTGTGTGTGTGGGTGTGTGTGTAGCCCTTCACTGTCTTCTCACTCTCCTGCCACTCCCTGCCCCAGCCCTTACCCTAGACTAGAATTCTCTGGGCCCTTACTGTGAGGAAGAGGGGACCTAAGGCTCTTGATCCAGGCCATTCACTCAACCTCCACTGCCCAGAGAAGGGCCTCAGCACACCTCCTGCCGCTAGGAGCTACTAGAAGAATCAACTAGAGGAAGTGGGCCCAGCATGAGCAGGAATACACCCTTGCTGTTCTTGCATGAATAGTGATGAGCAGGGCAGAGCCACCTGATGAAGGGGTGGGTGAAGAAGGGGTCCTGTGGTGCCCAGAATGACCTGGACTTTGCACCACATGAATCATGCAGCTCCTCCTTCCCCAAGGTCAACTTTAAATGATCTCATTGCTGCACCACAGCCTCCTAGACCTCTAATGGGGGTGGGTGGGGAGGCACCATTCCACTGGTGCTGTGCATGAATTTGGCCCTGGGTGTGACACGGCATCCACTGTGTATTTTTAACATTTATTCCTATATGTCAGTAATTTCTGAATGTGCATTGGCTATGTGATCTAAGTGTGTTTGTATACCTTATGGTTTCTACCTCTTCATACTTTTCATTTATGCTGCATGTGTCCTGCCTCTGGGTTATTGTGTAATGTATCTCATGGGTGCTGCATTTCTGTGGCTGTGTATTGTGTATTGCACGTCTCATGCATACATGAGTGTTGTATGCACTTGGTATTGTTCATGTAATAACATTGCTTCCTCCTTGTGTATTTCATGTGTTACGTGCTGCATTTGCTATCCATGTCTCTGTACTTTGTGTTCATGCGTGTATGTGCATGCATGGCATGTGTGTGTCTCTTCTGTCTTCAGACAGCTCCGCGCAGGCCTCCCGGGTACAAGTGGCTGTCCAAACCCTGGATGAAAATGACAATGCCCCCCAGCTGGCTGAGCCTTATGACACCTTTGTGTGTGACTCTGCAGCTCCCGGCCAGGTGAGCAGCCGAGACAGTGGTTTGGGCTTAAAGGCCTTCAGCTTCCCACTCCATTCAAGGACTCCCATTCTCCTCTCAGCTGATTCAGATCATTCGGGCTCTGGACAGAGACGAAATTGGCAACAGTAGCCGTGTCTCCCTTCAAGGTCCTTTGGGCCCTGATGCCAACTTCACTGTCCGTGATAACCGAGGTGGGTGGTCTCAGTACGACCATCTTATGCCTGCCTCCCTCTCCTCCTCTGCCACTCTCAGCACCACCTGCCTGACCTTTGCCCTGCCTGGACGCACCCTTCACCCAAATTATTTCCCCTGTTCTTTCAAGATCAGTCAATCTCTGGCTTCTTGTGGGAAGCTGGTTCCTTGAGCGAGACTCATCCCAGCAGGAAAGTGTTGAAGATGATGCCCCACATCTCCCCTCTCCTGCAGATGGCTCCGCCAGCTTGCTGCTGCCCTCCCGCCCTGCTCCACCCCGCCAGGCCCCCTACCTGGTTCCCATAGAACTGTGGGACTGGGGACAACCAGCTCTGAGCAGCACAGCCACAGTGACAGTCAGTGTGTGCCGCTGTCGGCCGGACGGCTCTGTAGCGTCCTGCCGGCCTGAGGCGCAGCTCTCACCCACTGGACTCAGCACTGGGGCCCTGCTCGCCATCGTCACCTGTGTGGGCACTTTGCTTGGTGAGTCAGCCCCTGGTGTGACTTAGCTGTGGGGTACAGACCTTCAGGAAGTGTGGAGAGAAATTGGGGCCCTTGGGCTTGAAGGAGCCCCCATGCCTGGATTTTCCCACTGCCTGGCACATTCAAGAAAAAGGCCCAAACCTATTTCTGATGTCCCAACCCACAGTGATAGTAACTGGACATGAAGATTGTTTCTTTAACCCCTACTCTGTGCCAAGTGCTGCACAGGGCACACATCACTGTGGTATTTTGGGTTTTTTCAACAACCCTGAGATGTCTTAGTCATATGGTGCTGTGATAACACAGTGGGTAGTTCTAATAAATTTATTTTTACAGTTTAGGAAACTAGGAATCCAAATTCAGCTCTCAAGGAAGGTGCTCCTCTGCTGGCTCAGGAGGAAGGTCCTTAGCTCTTCTGAGAATCTGCTCCTGGGCAGTCTTCATGGAGCTTGGCATCTTACCTCATCTCTGCTCTTTTGGCACGGAGAGGGTGAAACCAAGTTTCTCCTTGAAGGCTAGGATTTTGAAGCTCCTTGTCACATACATTGGGCACGTGGTCAGGAGGGACCAATCCTTGGAGAAGGACATCATGCTTGGAAGGGTGGAGGGACAGCGCAGGAGAGGAAGACTCCAGATAAGATGGATTGATACAGTATTAAAGGCAATGGGGTAAGTGTGTTGGAGTCAGTGAGACTGGCTCAGGACAGGGCAGGCTTCAGCACTGTTGTACACAGGATTGCTATGAGTCGCAGGTAACCCGAGGGCACAGAACAACAACATATCTCAAAAGAGAGTGATTTAAGACACACCCTTTGTGTCTCATTAAAATAGGAAAGAAAATTCATTCATAAATGGGTTTATAAGCACAAGTATAGAGGTTAGGATTTATAGCACATATTTTTTAGGGACATAATTCAGTCCAGAATATTCCACCCTTTGGCCCCCAAAATTCATTTCCTTGCCACATACAAGCACATTCACTTGATCACATTGCCCCAAAAGTCCTAAATCAATTCTAAGTCCAAAATCTCATCTTGTGAATCATCTAAATCAAATTGAGACTTTAGGCAAAGTTCGTCCTAAGGGATAAATATTCTTCATCTGTGAACCTGTAAAATATCTGTGATCCTGTAAAATCTAGGATGTTGCTCTGTGCCGCCAAGTCGGCTACAACTCATAGCAACCCTGTGCACAATAGCTCTGAATCTTCCCCTATCCTGAGCCAGTCTCACTGCCTTCTACTGAAGACCCCAGTTACTGTGTCAGTCCATCTCATCCAGGGTCTTCCTCTCCGTCTCTCCACCCTTCTAACCACCATGTCCTTCTCCAAGGACTGGGACAAGTTGTCTATTTCTGAAGTCCAATGATGGGACAAGCACAAGGTAGATATCTCCATTACATATGGGGAAAATTGGAGTCAAAGAAGGAATAGCAGGCACCAAGCAAGTCCCTAACCTAGCAGAACTGATTACATTTGCTCTCAAGGCTTCAAAATAATCCTCTCTTCTCTAAAGCCATCCTTACCCTTCAACCCTGGGCCTCCAGGCTCTCTGGGATAACAACTTGACTCCTTTGACTTTAAGAAACCTTATCCTCTTAGTCCATATGAGTGACAACCCAGCCCTGACATCCCTTGACAGCAGCCTCAAACTCTGGAATCAAGTTCGTGAAGGAGGCTATGAGTCTACCCTTTGAAACCCAGAAGGTCCTGCTCCCATGCTCCTTCTTATAGTCCTGTGGATCTCTGAGGCGAGCCAGGCACAGTCCTTTGCTTTTCTTGGGAGATAATTAATGTAGCTCTCTAGACCTGTGTTCTGCCTGTGGAGTTCCAAGAGGCACAAATAGCTGCTCTTTATTTCTCAGTTCCCTTCAGTCTAAGCTGATGGGCTTTCTTTTGTGATAGTTGATTAAATCCATCAATCATAAGTTTAATTTCCTTTAAAAAAGATAACATGGTCACATCCTTGATGAACATTCTAGGACACATGTCCTTGGTATGTAAAACAGAACTTTCTATGTCTTTAAGTTCTGTTTTCGTCTTGTACAATTTGTTTTTAAATCAATCTCTTTTCTCTCATATTTTACTGTAAATGGCAAGAAGAAACTACATGACCCCATTAAGATCTTGGTTCTAAGGGAGCTCTGGTGGCCTAGTGGTAAGAAGCTGCCCTGCAATCCTGAAGGCACACGGTTTGAATCCACCAGATACTCTGCTGGAGAAAGAGGGGCAATCCTCCTGTGCCAGCTGGATCTGACCCGAGGGTACACGAGAGAGAGGGGGGGGAAAGATACTGGTTCTAAATCAACTCACCCAGATACCTAAGCGTATCACTTGCCAGGTCCACCTTCCACCATGCACTGAAGTTCTTTGCCACTGAGTAAAAAGCATTGCCCTTCCTCCATTGTCCAATCCCATGTTCATCATTTTCTTTTAAAGCCTCACTAAGCATATTTAATAGTGTCGAGGACTCTCCTTCCTAGGGTCTCTATGAGTCGCCTGTGACTCGACAGCACTTAACAACAACAAAGCATATTTAATGTCCACATTTCTAGCAACATCCTGTTGCTGGCAACATTCTCTAAAATTATCTATGTCTCCTCACTTTCTTCTGAGCCTTCACTAGAATTCCTTTTGACATTTGTAATTCTACCAATTCTCCTATTAGGTACTTTAAAATTCTTTTGGCCTATACTTACCACCCAGTTCTAACACTGCTTCCAAATTTTAAATAATCTGTGAGATCAGCTCTCCACTCTGCTGGTCCAAAATCTATCCTAGTTATTTATCTAGTGTGTATATAACTGAAAGAAATACCATAAGTAAAAGTCAGTATGTGCCACCTTCAACTTCTTTAAGAGTCAAAGGTGCTCAGAGAAGTTAACTTGCCATAGTCACATAGGTAAGTGGTGAAGTCCTGATTCAAACAGATTTGGCAGGTGTCAAACTAGGACTTGTAGCCAGGAGGTTACATGGCCCTGCCACCTATATGACCCTCAGAGTGGACAGGGCCCAGTCTATTCCAGACACCCGCGGGCTCAGCAGTGTGTTCGCTTCTCTCGCCCCAGCCCTGGTGGTGCTCTTCATGGCATTAAGGCGGCAGAAGCAGGAATCGCTGATGGTGTTGGAGGAGGAGGATGTCCGGGAGAACATCATCACCTATGACGACGAAGGCGGTGGCGAGGAGGACACCGAGGCCTTTGACATCACAGCCCTGCAAAACCCTGATGGGGCGGCCCCTCCGGCGCCCGGCCCACCTGCGCGCCGCGACGTGCTGCCCCGCGCCCGGGCGCCGCGCCAGCCCAGGCCCCCAGGTCCAGCCGACGTGGCCCAGCTGCTGGCACTGCGGCTCCGCGAGGCGGATGAGGACCCCAGCGTGCCGCCGTACGACTCGGTGCAGGTGTATGGCTACGAGGGCCGAGGCTCCTCCTGCGGCTCTCTCAGCTCCCTGGGCTCCAGCAGCGAGGCTGGTGGATCCCCGGGCCCTGCCGAGCCTCTGGATGACTGGGGGCCGCTCTTCCGCACCCTGGCCGAGCTGTATGGGGCCAAGGAGCCCCCGACCCCCTGAGAGCCGGCCCTGGCCCTGCCCGCCACGGTGGGGCAACCCGCACAGGCCCTATGAGTGAGCCCCACGAGGTCCAGGCAGGCAGCAGCAGCCCAGGGGCCCCCAGGCTTCCCCATCCCGGTGTCCCTCCACGCTCCTTCCCCAGAGCACCTTCCCCCTCACTCCTGAGTCCTCTGTCCATCTCTCTGCAGGGATCTCTCTCTCTCTCTGCGTGTGTCTCTGGCTCTGTTTGTGACAGCTCCTCTGATGGGCCCTCGTCTGGGTCTCGGTTTTGTGGCTCTGAATCTCTGTTTTCTCACTGTGATTTCTCTCTCTGTGTGGGTCTCTGTTACTGTCTCTCTGATTCTGAATCTCACACATTCTCTGTATCCCTTGCCTAAACAAACATGTGCTCTGTGTCTGTCTCCTGCTCACATCTCCCTCCTCGTTCTTCTGGGTCCCTGTGACTAGCTTTTTGGTTTTTTTCCCGTTGTCCATCTCAAAAGCAAGAGAAACTTCCAGCCACTGCTGCCCACCCTCCTGCAGGGGATGTTGTGCCCCAGGTCAGTACCCCTAAGCGAGGGAGAGGGGGGCAAGAGGTGAGCTGAACCCCCTCCCCAGTCCTGGTGTCTAACCCCTCTCCTGCTCTCCTGTCCTTACAGACCTGCCCGCATGGTTCCATCCATCACTCATGGCCTCATCCTGGCTCCACCGGCCTCCAGCAGTGGAGCAGGAGCCAGCCGCCTCCCAGGGTGAGAGCTCCAGGCCCCACGTGGCTGCCTCCCTGGAGCTCTGCCCAGCTGTCAGCCTGCCCTGGGCATCCCAGCTCTGGGCATTGTTGTGTGTGCTTCCCAGGCCCCTTTGGGGGAGGGGAGAAAAGGAGAAGGGAAGGCAGCTGAGGAAGGGAAAAGAGGGAGGAAGGGGAGGGGCCTCCATCTCTAATTTCATAATAAACAAACACTTTATTTTGTAAAGATGGAGTCTTGCATCTGTTTCTGAACAAGGCTACACTGTGTTTTGTGCTGAAAATGGCCTAAGAGGCCTACATCTCTCCTGTCTTTCCTTCCTTGGGAAATCAACCACACATTGCCCTAGATAGGAGAGTTCAAGCTCATAGGAAAGAATAAGGAGAAAATGGCTCTGCACACCCCCACTCCCCACCCCTGGACCAACTGCCAGGCTTTCCTTTGGTCTCAAATGCCAAATAAATTAAGATATGGGGATTGGCCAGAGGGGGCATGTGAAAAGGAGGAATAGAGGGAGGAGACAACACTAAGAGGGGTACAGACCAGAGTGAAATGTGAGACTGGGAAAGAGAAGGGGCCCTGCCAGCCTCTCCTGGGCAAAGGATGAGCCTGAGTGAGTCACGTTGAATCTAAGTCTGCTCCCACATTTAGTTCTCTCCCAGTCCACAGTCTTAGTCTTGGCAGGACACAAAAGCAGAATGTAAGCAAGGGGGCGGGTTGTTAAGAGGTAGGGTCTCTTAGAGTGGGAGCTGAGAGAGAACTGCCAGTTCCTCCCAATTCCCACTCCCACAGTAGAGAAGGAATTCACTAGGAGCCAGAATAAGAACCAGGCTTCTTAACTCCCTAAGGGCTTCTGGAGACTAGGTGAGTCAGATCCTCTAGACTTTGGGTCCTACAGAATGAAGGAAAACTAATAGGAAGGTGTCAGATCCTCTAGACATTGGGTCCTGAGGAGTGAGAGAAAATTAATGGGAAGAGGCCTTTTTTCACACTTATACCTCCTAGGTGGGATACAAGTCCCACACTACTGGACACTTACATAAGCACATGCGTGCTAAATGCTAAATCCCTTTTTGTGCATCTGCTTTCCAACTGTGCTGCTACTGATAGTCTCTGATGCTCACCAGTCTCTGCAACACTGGCCTGCATGACTAGAGTTGTCTGAATCATTCCCCTGATGGGTATGCGTCTCTGTGAGACCTTCCAGAAAACTCCCAAACCTAAGGAACATAGAGGAGCCAGGGAACTGAATAAAGGAAGCACTGTTATTCCCCAAAATCATAGAGTTATACAGCAAATCAACCATCGAAGACACTATTGATTCTGCACTTCTTGTAACTGGTCTGCTACTCAGCTTCGTCTTGCTTGGATCCACAATTAACACCCCTGGTACCAGCAGTCAGGAAATTGCACTGGGAAAATCTGCAATTAGGGACCTTTCCAAATTATTGAGGAGTAGCAATGTCAGGTTGAAGACTAAGGTGCATCTGATTCAGGTCATAGTCTTTCCAATTACTTGCTGTGCATCTGAGAGCTGGACAATGAATAAGGATGACAGAAGAAGAATTGATGCCTTTGAGCTGCGGCATTGGAGAAGAGCACTGAACATCCCATGGACGGCAAGAACAAACTTATGTTTTGGAGACAGTACAGCCAGAGTGCTCTTTGGAGGCAAGAATGATGACATACTTTGGACATATTGCTAGGAGGTGCTATTTCTTGGAGAAGGACATGATGCTGGGAAGGATGGAGGGTCAGCGAAGGAGAGGAAGACCCTCAGCCAGGTGGATTAATACGGTGGCTGCTGCAATGGGTTCTCATTTGGTGCAGAATAGAACAGGGTTCAGATCTTTTGTTCATAGGGTCACTATGAGTTGTGCTTGACAGCAGCGTAAAAACAACACTAAGCGTAGCAGAATAAATTATGAATGCAAAAAGTAATGAGTAATTTCCATTGCTAGAGATGGTACTTACCATGCTGAAGCCTGGACCCCCAGTGCCCCAAAACCCAAGGATCTTTGTAAAAGTAGAGTGTTTATCTCCTGAAGATCTAGAAACTCCAAGCAGAGTCAAATCATTCAGTTCAGGATAGGAAGCGCAAGATCTCTGCCTATTTATTCTCACTCTGATGTCTACATCAAGCTTTTAGAAATGAGTAGCATAAGTCAATCACAAAAGGTCAATTATGGCTTAACACCACCAATATCTAAAGCTAAGGAAAGGTTTACACACAGAATCCATCTTGCAGTAAGGATGCCTGTGGTGTTGGAGAAGAGTACGGAATATCCTATCAACTGCCAAAAGGACAAACAGATATATATGCCTTGGAGAAAACACAATTAAAGTGCTCCTTAGAGAAAAGGATGGTGAAACTATGCCTCACACATTTTGGGCATGTTGTTAGGAGGGGCTAATCCTTGGGGAGGTGGGAAATCATGCTTGGAAAGGTGGAGGGTCAGCAATAGAGAAGACCCTCAACAAGATGGTTTGATGCAGTGACTGCTTCGATGGGTTTGAGTATACAAAGGTGATGAGTATGACACAGGATAAGGCAAGGTCCAGGTTCATAGGGCCACCAAGAATCATAGCTGACTCAGTGGCACCTAACAACAACAAGGGATGAAAAGTGAGGGAGAGGAGAACAAAATGAATAAACAGATTAGCTAAGTGGAAAAGAAAGGCAATAGTAAAAGGGGGGGGGAAGATATTAAGAGTTTCCAGAATTTTTTAAAATTAAAGTTGATGTTTTGCCTGAGGTATCACTCTAGAGACAATGTATGAAATTTCTGATTTTATTTTTACTGACTTTATATTGTGTCATAATATTTTCAACCATCACTTGCACAAGTTTATTTCTAAATAAAATTGAGTAAAATATGTAAAATTCATTTTCAGCACATCATAGTTATAGAGAAGAAATTGGCTAAGAGAGAAAAAAGAAATAAGTGGAGAAAAGGAAGAACTAGCCCATAAGGCAGGGGCCAGTCCAGTGGTGTGGAGCGCACGGGACAGGACGTGAGCTGTGTGTGTTCCCCAGGCCTCTCCAGCATCCTCCTCAGATCTTCTCCCAACTCACTAAAAACAAAGACAGAAAGCAGGGATGGAGAAACTGAGGGCATAAAGAGATGCGCCTGTTAGCAAGGTCCTTGGGTTTATATTTGACAATACCTCCTCACCAACTAGGACAGAATGGATTAAAAGGAGTGAAGAAGGGCAGGAAAGTGAAAGGAAAAGAGGTGAGAAGCAATGGGAGGACACGTGGAGATGAAAAGCCAGAAACAGAGGGGCTTTCTCCTGTCCCCATCCTCTGTGGGTTCCATCCTTCTTCCCCCACTCTGAGAAGGTGAAGGGTGCAGAAATCCTTGGGAGACAGTTCTCAGTGGCACCTTTGACTGGATTCAGGTGGCAAACCTAGGCCTTCTTTCCCTCCCTCCCCACTTTGCTTCTCTTCCTGAAGGTCCTCCAACTTGGTTGGAAGATAGGGAGGTGGCCACCTGGGGGAGGGAGCTCAGCCTCCATCTCCTCTTTAACCTGGAACATTTTCCCCTGAAAGAACTGGTAAGGCCTGGCAGCAAACCCACTAGGATAAGATCCAACACCTTAATCCTGTATGAAAGTTTCCTCTCCAGGACTAGGTTGTTACAGGGGCCCTAACCTCAGTGATTATTCCCAGAATCCTGTATCCACTCTCCAGAGGCTGGGGACTGGTCAAAGGGTGAAGGAGGGATACTGTGGAGGCCTGGTCCTGGCTTGAAGGCTAGTCCTCTAGACTCCTTGATGCCCTCCTTAAGCCTCCCTTTCCCACTACAGCCTCCTCTCTGCTTTGCTTTTCTTCCTGGGACTCCCTGGCCTTTTCTTTCTCCTCCCTGTAGCATCTCTTCAATCCTCTGACCGGCTCCTGGCTGGAGGGATCCTAGCCCAGGGCACAGAGTTAGGGCTTTGAGGGCACACTGGGGGAGGGGTGCTCAGGACAGAAGGACTGCTGCTGTAATTCTTAGGACTGAAGTTTAAGAAGAATTAGGAAAAAAAGGTTCAGTGACCTGATGGGAGTCATCGTTAAGTCCACTCTCAGATTCAACTGTCCTTTCTCTTTTATTAGTTCAGAGAGGTGAGGCATCCTTCCTAGAACTGTCAGCTTGGATCTCCAAGTTGGGTTTATAGAGAGAGGTGGAGGTGGGAGGGGCCGGGAGAAGATGCACTAACCTGACAGTTCCCACTGGCATAGCCCTCTCTCCTTCATTCCCCAGAGGAGCTACAGGGAAGAAAGGCCAGAAAGGAGCAAAGGGAAGAAACTAAGAAGGGGGGTGCAGAGAAGAGGAAATCTGGTGGTGACAGTGGCAATGACAGGCCTGAAAGGCTAATGAGCCAGGGCGGGGCTGCAGGAAGCCTGCCCTCTGCTACAGTCAGAGGAGGCAATGAGAGCAGCTTTCCCAGGCTCACCCTTCAGGTCCTCAGACTCCTCTGGGCTCATCCATCCCCAGCCACCAGGTTGAGGTTTGGTACAGCCACTCCCTCCCTCCAGGTCACCCCTAGGAAGCTTGCAGCCCTGGAGGGAGAACTGTGTAGAGAAAGCACAGACTCAGGCGAGAGAGACTTATAATCAAGCCTCCTCTCTGCGAGGACCTCTGTGACCTGGGACGAGTCTCATTCCCTGTTAACCTGCTTTCTCATCCATAGAGAAAAGATAATTTTATTTCCAAGGGTTATCAGGAGACCTGAATTCATCTAAGGAATAATTCATTATAGTCACATTGAAGAGGGGGACGGGGAGGAGAGTAGATGTGAGGAGAAGCCCACTGCTAACGAAGGGTCCCTGCACTCCCTCCCTCTGCCCCTCCCAGCCTGGAGCTCACACTTTTCTGGGCCACTATTCCTACCTGACTACGTGATGGTCACTCTTAGGTCCAGCTCCCTGTAGTATGGCAACACAGCTGACAAGCGTTTGGTGGTACTGGCCACACTAAGCAGCCAACCCTTTCCCACCTCCACTCCCCACATCTGCAGCCGCACTTCATCAAGGCAAGAAAGAGACAAAGGCTTGGAAACAGACAGAGGATTCAGATGGAAGGAAGGGAGTCTAGCTAGTGGATGGGGGAAAATGGAAGAAAGCATGGCAAGAAAATTGTCTAGCATGCAGTAGGTGTTCAGTAAGTATTCCCTGAAAGAAGGACTTGATGCTGGAAAGAAAGCTGCAGCAATCTGCCGGGCAGCCTTAGAAAGGGATTGGACAGTCATCAATAACTCTATGTGGTAGAAAGGGATACAGACTTGGAACAAATGAAGCTGACAACCCACAGGACTTGAGCCAGATGCAGGGATGCTGTACACACCAAGGGCCCTCCCTCTGCAGAACCACTCTCCCACCCAGTCTCTGAGCCAAGGCCCTCCTCCAACTCCTGCCACTCCTCACAGTTTCTCCATCCATCTCTGCTGGCATCCTGGAGCCTCCTGGTGCCACCCATGCACAGAGTTCTCCACTGGTCCCAGCCCTGTGGGGAGTGGTGGGCTCAGGACCTAGCATTGCCGGCCTCCTCCTCTGCCTTCATGGGTTCCTGCAGCTCTTTGTACAGCACACAGGCATCCTTGCGAGACACATACTTCCATCCACTCTCTCGCACGTGGAAAAGGTCCACAGAGCCGCCTGAATAGGCATCACGACGGGTGGCGTGAGCCACAGCGCGCTGAGCCAGATCATAGGCTTCCTGGGTGGTCATGTCAAAGCGGTAGCCACGGTCTAGCACGCCATAGGCGTAGGGAGATCCAGAGCCCACGGAGAAGACGTCCCCCTGCAGGTGAGTGCCGTCACTGTAGACATAGAAGAGAGCGGGCCCTGAGCGATCCCAACCGCAGAGGGCCGTGGCCACGCACAGATCCAGCCCCCGGTAGCGGTACATCATGGCTGACATGATTTTCGCAGCACTAGCCACACTGGGCAACTGACCTTCCCTCAATGCGCGCAAGCGCAGCTCCCGCTGTAGGATCCGGTACCATGTGGCACAGTCAGCAGAGGTACCCGAGGTGGTGCCCAGGAGGTGCTGATGCACAGGGATGACTTTCCGTGAGGCTGGACAAGCCACATAGCTGCCACAGGAGGAGCGTGTGTCAGCTGCAGCGATCACTCCATGACGGAAGCGAAAGGCCAGAGTGGTGGTGCCATGGGCCAGCCTGGGGCCATGGATCTGCAGGAAGGTTTGAGGATCGTAGCCGGGTGGCACAGCCCAGCCACCAGCCTGAGGCAGGTGAGGGGATGGTCCTTGGAGATCAGGAGGCTGCCAATTGCACACATCCTGCAGAGCCATCTCTGGGCTGAATGAAGGTTGGGAGAAATAGGTCAGGTATATATGTATGCTTGGGCCAGGTGTGGGGCAGAGGGACGCTAGGAAGAAGCTGATCTGCAGCCAGAACCACTGAAGAAAGCGTGTGATCTGATGCTTCACTTCCTCCAGCCCCACATCAGGTTCTGAGAATGGCTTTTGGACAAGGCTGCTGAGGGAAGACAGGACAAGGTCAGCAGAGTTTCCAATGCTGGGAAGACGCTACCCCATCAATCAGGTCTTCTGCTGTCCGTGACACATCTGAGAGTCACTTAGGGAGTCACCTGTCGGTCATCCTTCAACTACCTGAAATACAGTGAGGATCTGAGTGATTGTGAAGAACATGCACAAGTAGAAGAAGAGCTGGCTTCCTCTTGCTTTTCTTGTGTGGGACACTGGCATACAACACTAAGGCAAAAGACCTTATGTTGGGGATTTTCTTCAAAGGTGTGAGATCTGGGAACTCTGAGGTTCAGCTCACATTTCCAACTCAAGATTGAGATGGAGAAAAAGAAACAGCAGGACTGTGGCAGCAGTTTTCTGGGAACTCAGTCCTAAAGCAAGTTCAATGGAGCTCCTATCAGAGAAAGATGAGGAAGAAGCAGGACCCTATGCCAAAGGACTTGCAAGAGAACAAACAGGTTTGTCCTGGAGGTTGCTCCTTGGAGGCAAGGGTTTGAAGCTCCATTTCACATACTTTGGGCATGTTGCAAGGCGGGACTAGTCTTTGGAGAAGGACATCATGCCTGGAAAGATAGAGGGTCAGCCAAGAAGAGGAAGATCCTAGATGAGATGGATTGACACAATGAATGTGGCAATGGGGTCAGGGGTGTCAGAAACAGTGAGATTGGCTCAAGCTAGAACAGGCCTCAAAGATATTGTTCGTAGGGTCACTATGAGTTGTAGTCAACTTGATCAATGGCACATGACAACAACAATGACAGCACTAAAGTCCAAGCTAGTTCTTCTCTTTTCCTTTGGGAAGATTACATGAGAAACTTATTGAAGAAATAAAAATGTCTCCTCTTTTTAAAAGCTAAATCGTAGTCTATTCACACATGGATGGATTGCTGGTTTCTGCCTTCCTCAAGTCAGGCCATTGTCAAGTCAGATATGGACAGTTGAATGGCCTCCTAACTGGCCACCCTCCAGTCTCTCTTTCTCCCTTTAATCTCTTCTGCATTGACATGCTCTACTAAGGTACTGTTACCCAAAAGCCTCAGATCTTCCACCTGCCACTGAAAGCTAATCTCAGAGAGAGGGTGGAATGGAACAGTGAAACATTTATTATGTACCAGAATGTGGGACACACAGCATATGAACTTCCCAAATGTGTCTCCCTGACTTGGAAACTGCAAGGGGCTTATGTCAGGGAGGGATAAGGATAGCAGAATGTGAGGGTTTTCTAACAGTATATCCTCCCATCCAGATGAACTAGTCACTAGTCAGATCTCAGACTAGTTGGCCTGGCCTGGAGGTAGTTGGCATCATCCAAGTCAAAGGAGGCATTGACATGATCCTAGTTAAGCAAAGCATCTCATGATTAAGGCTATCACCCTCATTTAACTTTTGAAGAAAAAAATTGCAGGAGTAAACTGGAAAAAGAAATTAAAAAAGAAATCTTAAGAGGAGACTTAGCTCCTGGAGATAAATTACTGGAGCAGACAAGAAAGAGCGACAAAAGAAGAAGTTAGCCATTAATTTCTGAGGGCAAATGGGAAAGGGCAACAAAAGGGTTTCAATGAGAGCTAAAAGGAACGTTAACACCACTACTGCTAAGTTAAGAGAAGTCCCTTTCCCCATAAGTAATATAAAATGTTAGTCTCACATTATTATGAATATTGTAAAAGATTAGTTTTCTGTTATTTTATTCATCAGTGGTAGTAACACTTAAACCCTGTTTTCCTTCTGCTAAAAACTTAGGAGGTCTCCAAGATCAAATTCCAACTACGTTTCCCACCCCAGGCTGGCAAGGTCTATTGGCAAACTGCTTAATGTGTCAGGCTTCTAGCCAAAAGTCTTGTGGTTTGAGTCCACTAGCCACTCTATGGGAGAAATATAAGCTGTCTCCTCCCATGAAGATTTACAGCCTTTGAAACCTGCTGGAAGTCAGAATCAACTTGATGGCAGTGGACATTAACAGAAGACCAAGGAAGAATTGATGCCTCTGGACTGTGATGCTGGCAAAGAATACTGAATACACAGACTATTAAAAGAACAAGCAAAACTGTGTTGGACGAAGTGCAGCCGGGATGTTCCTTAGAAGCAAGGATGCCGGGACTTTGTCTCACATACTTGGGAAATCTTACTGTCCTTGGAGAAAGATATTATGCTTGGGGAAGTAGAGGGCTAGTGAAAAAAAGAAGTCAACCCTCAACAAGATGAATTGACACTCTGACTGCAACAATGTGCTTAAGAACAGTGGAGGTTATGAGGATGGCGCAGGATCAGTGTTTTATCATGTTGTGTTTAGGGTCTTGGTAACTCAAAGGTGACTCAACAGTACCTAAAAATGACACAGTCCAACTAACAACAAAGGTCAAATCCAAGTTCACCAACTACAACCTCTTTTCTGAATCCTAATACATCTCCCACCTTCCCTTTGCCTATTTGAATTCTTTCAAAGTCTGGCTTAAGTCCTATCTGTTCTGAAAAGCCTTCCCAAGTATAGGCTGAGAGAGAAGAGGTTGTAAGATTGAAGAGTAATGGGACCCAAGTGGTATTTTTTTGGTGTTGTTGTTATGTGTTGTTGAGTCCACTCTGATTTATAACTATATGAACAATAGCCCTGAACCCTGCCATATCCTGAGTCAACTTCACCATCTCCATCACACCTGCCCTCATTGCCACAGTCACTCTCAATCCATCTCATCCAGGGTCTTCCTCTCCTGCACTGACTCTATACTCTTCCAAGTATGATGTCCTTCTCCAAGGACTGGTCCCTCCTAGCAGAATGATCAAAGTATGCAAAACAGAACTTCAAAGTGAATTCAGAACTCCATTGCAAAGGCTTCCTGAATCCTCACCTAGCTTCAGTTTATACTGAACTCAGCTCTTAAATCTATCACTCATTCTATTTTATTCATTATTATTTTTTTTTTACTTCTCACTTATGAGTAGGGACTTTGGATCAGAGAATATAAGTTAAATAAATGGCCTAGAAAATTGGTTAGTGCAGTATTTCAGTAATTCAGAAGTGAAGAGATCAGAAGTTAAAGGTGGTATTAGTTATTATGAAAAAGAATGTGAGAAATGCTGCAGAATTCATGGGCTTGTTAACTTACTAGATGCAGGTAAAAGGAGCAGAAGCTGTCAATGGTGAGCCAAGGGTTCAATCTGCTATGAAGGGAGAACACAGAACATTGTCATTTTTAATTTATTCATTTGTAAACATGTATTAGCAGGAAAAAAATGGTCATTCTTCTGTTAAGATTCACAGTCTTGGTTGGAAACAACCTAAGTCCCCATCAACAAATGAATGGACAGAGAAGTTGTGGTATATTCACACAATGGAATACTGTGCAGCATTGAAAAACAAGGAACTCATGAAATATTATTCGAAATGGGTGACCCTGGAGGACATATGCTGAGTGAAATATCTCAGTCACAAAAGGACAAATACTGCATAGTGCCACTGTTATAAAACAGGATAGACATCGGGGTTGTGGAGAAACTAAGAAGACAGGAGATAAATGATGTACACAACATGAAAGAGATGGGGGAGAGAACTGTTTAAAGGAATATATGATTTGGTATTATTTGCATGACAAAGGGAGCTCTGGTGGCCTAGTGGAAAGAAGCTGCACTACAGTCCCAGAGTTACGCAGTTTGAATCCACCAGATGCTCTGCTGGAGAAGGAGGGACAATCTCCTCCAGGACCAGTCAGATCTGATTTGATGGTACATGCATAAAAAATAATAAAGTAAAAAAAAAAGGTACTATCTGCATGACAAGAGTCCAGAATAAGAGCTGCATAGTAAAGTGGACTGGAGGAGGGGGTATTGAATAACAATGAAATTTTTTTTTTCTTTTTACAAAGAGAAAAGTGAACTGGGGAGGGGTGTGCAGGGAGAAAAATGTGCAACAGTGAATGAATGGGCAGGAAAATGAAAAAAAGATGTCAATGGCCAAATCTGGGGGGAAAAAAAGATTCAATCTTGGAAACCCAACACATATGGTTGACTTGAATCAGAATCAATATGATGGCAGTGTGCTTGGGGTTGCTGGATTTGTTTGTTTGTTTTTGGTAAACATGTATTAAATAAAAAACGAGACACAGAGGCAAAGAGATGAATAGTAGTAAAATACCTGTCTGTAAAAGTTACAATTATGTTGTCTTGCATCATCAAGTCACTTGTGACTCACAGTGAAACTCAAGGAAGAGGGTTTCATAGGCTGTAACCTTTACTAGGGGAGCTCTGATGACATAACCCATAGTGAGCTGTGCTGCTAACCCAAAGACTCCATCTCTGGGAGGCACTGGAGAGCACTATGCTGAGTGAACTATCTCAGTCCCACAAGGACAAATCCCGCATAAAACCATTATTGTAGAATGAATATGAGGATCCAAGGCGGAGGGGAGTAGAGTTAGAGGAGGGAGGTTGGGTGGGGGTGGAGTGTTAATCGTAGGGCTGCACAATTCTAGGGGTGGATGGGGTGAAGGAAATGAGAAGGATCTTTTGTGAAAAACAATGTATTCAGACTTTGTAAAGAAATCGGTATATAAAATTTAAAAAAATACTAATACTGCATTTCCTGCAGTTTGAACCTAGGAGTGGTTCTGCAGGAGAAAAATAATCATGAATTTTATTTAAAGCCTCAGAAGCCAGTTGAAAGGAGGTTTGTTATGAAGTGTAACTTATTCCATGGCAGTGAATGAGTGAATCTTTAAATGAGCAGTTTGCTGGGGTTCCCCCCCTCCCACCAGCTGGTGGATAGACTCAAATCACCTACCTTCAGTAAATATCCACACTTCAGGTAAAAG